CGGACTAGGACCCAGCGCAGGCCGGGACTCAGCTCAGGCCGGGACCCAGCACAGGCCCGGACTAGGACCCAGCGCAGGCCGGGACTCAGCTCAGGCCGGGACCCAGTGCAGACCAGGACTAGGACCCAGCGCAGGCCCGGACTAGGACCCAGCGCAGGCCAGGACTCAGCTCAGGGTGGGACCCAGCGCAGGCCCGGACTAGGACCCAGCACAGGCCTGGACTAGGACCCAGCGCAGCCCGGGACTCAGCTCAGGCCGGGACCCAGCGCAGGCCCGGACTCAGCGCAGGCCCGGACTCAGCTCAGGCCGGGACTAGGACCCAGCGCAGGCCGGGACTAGGACCCAGCGCAGGCCGGGACTAGGACCCAGCGCAGGCCGGGACTAGGACCCAGCGCAGGCCAGGACTCAGCTCAGGCTGAGACCCAGCGCAGGCCCGGACTAGGACCCAGGGCAGGCCAGGACTAGGACCCAGGGCAGGCCAGGACCCAGCTCAGGCTGGGACCCAGCGCAGGCCCGGACTAGGACCCAGCGCAGGCCAGGACCCAGCTCAGGCTGGGACACAGCGCAGGCCCGGACTAGGACCCAGCGCAGGCCAGGACTCAGCTCAGGCCGGGACCCAGCGCAGGCCCGGACTAGGACCCAGCGCAGGCCAGGACTCAGCTCAGGCTGGAACACAGCGCAGGCCCGGACTCAGCTCAGGCCGGGACCCAGCGCAGGCCAGGACTAGGACCCTGTGCAGGCCAGGACCCAGCTCAGGCTGGAACACAGCGCAGGCCATGACTAGGACCCAGTGCAGGCCCGGACTCAGCTCAGGCCGGGACCCAGCGCAGGCCAGGACTAGGACCCAGCACAGGCCGGGACCTTCTTGCTTTCCAAAGAAAGCCGTCCAGTCAGACTGGCTGCAGCAGCACCTGGACCAGCCTACAGCTATGTAAGGCAGGCTTGCAAGAGAGCTAGCTCTCCAAGCACAAGAAGCCCCGGGGACAAAGTGCCAGCCCAAACGCAAGCAGGTGAGTTTCGCCACAGCGGGGGGTAAACTGTAACATAACAACTAAAATCCACCATTCTCTTCCAGGAAAATACAGAAATGCACTTTTAAAACACCAAGGATTCCTAGGGGAACAAACCCAGTTAAACCCAGTTACAGAGCTAGATTCCAGCATGGGTGCAAGGACTTGCTGCTATATTGTGCCTCTTGTCCCATGCATGACTGCTTACCAGCTGGACAGAAGCCATGGGTCTGTGCTTGGTGGAACACATTGGCTTCCTTGAGGATGAGGTTGCTGACTTGCAGAAGCAAAAAGAGGCAGAGAGGTTTGGCTGAGAAGACCATCAGGAAGCAGAGAGGAGGGTCCCAACGCCTGGATGGCAACTCCTCAGATGTCATAGAAAATGGGAGTCTCAGAGGAGGAAGAGGGAAGTGATCCCTTAGCAAGGACCCATTCCTCGGAAGGTGAGCCCTTCTTCTCTCACACTGAGGATGCGCCTCTGGGGTGGGGTGCTTCTGATAGTCGTAGATGTGGATTGCAATGAGAGTGTGGACCACATAGTAAATTGCCTGCCTTCTGTGAAGGTTGAGGACATCACATGTCATCTAGATAATGTAGAGTCTGTGGCTAAGGTCCATGTGGGTGCCAATGATGTGGGGAAATGTAGTTGTGAGATCCTGGAAGTCAAATTTAGGATGCTAGGTAGAAGGTGAAATCCAAGACCACCAAAGTGGCTTTCTTTGAAATACTACCTGTTAGATGCACAGGGCCAGCTAAACAAGCACACCTGTGGAGTCTCAAGGTGTGCGTGAGAGAGTGATGTAGAGGACTTCAGCTATGTTAAGCACCGGGGAACATTTTGGGATAAGCCAGGCCAGTACAGAAGGGATGGGCTCCACTTGAACTAAACTAAAACCAGACTGCTGGTTCATAACATTTAAAAAAATGGCAGAGCTGCTTTTATGCAGAATCAAGGAGGAAAACCAATGGCATATGGGAAGCATCTGGTTCAGGTTAAATCATCCCTAGGGAATGAAGAAGGAAAAGTTTCTAATTGCCCAAAAATGAGAGGGAAGAAAAAAACCACAGGCTTGTGGCAAGACATGCTAACCAGTTGTAGAGTCCGAAGTGGAGCTGGAATGCCTGGAGAAGGGCATCACAGAAACCTTGTGGAATGGAAAGAACAGAAGGGGTGTGGTCATCTCTGGATATAAACTGTATAGGAAGGGCAAGGAAGTGCATACGGGAGGTGGCCAGCCCTGTACGTCAAAGGGGCACAGAGTACAGAGTCCTCAACTAAAGCACTCTGTGTGACAATATCTAGCTTGAAAACTAATCTAGCCATGGGAATATGTTGTCATCCTCCAAACCAGGATGATCTTGAAATAGAGACTGAAAACAGAGAATCCTCAAACAAAAGCAGTGTTGTAATAATGATGATATCAACTACCCACACACTTAGATGAACATTTATGTTCCTGTTCTGACAAAGATGGTAACTTTTCAATGTCCTAAAAGTCTATGCCCTTGGAAAGTTGGTCAGGGAACCAACCAGAGGGAAGCCAAATAGAGGTACAGAGAATACACATGCCACAAGTTAGGAAAAGTAGATGAAGTTAACAAACAGAGTCAAGGATGCTATTAGAGAAATTTCCTTCAAGAAATGGAAATCTTGCCCAGTTCAGGAAAGCAAAAGGTAGCACAAGCTTGTGCAAGGCAGAAGAAAGCAGGTGATGAGAGAGGCAAAGAAAAGGGGTGCCTATCACTAATAACATCAAGGTTAGCAGTAAAGAATTCTTTAAATATATCAGAAGAAACCAGCTTGTTGGACCATTGGATGATAGTGAAATTAGAGGAGCATGAAAGAGGAACAAAACTGCAGAGAAGCTGAATAAATTCTCTTCATCTGTCTTCCTAACAGAGGATACAGGAGAGATGCCTCAGGTAACATACCTGTTCCTGAATTACAGTCCAGTTAGCTTAAAGTCAGTTCTGGGAAACTTGGTTGAAAGTGTTACTAAAGATATAATCAGTAAGTATACAGAGGGACAAGCCCTGCTGACAAAGAATAAACATGGCTTCTGCAAAAATAAGTCCTGTCTCACTAACCTATTAAAATTCTTTGAGAACACATGGGCGGGGCAAGCTACTCCTTACCAAGTAAACAGTAAAAAGACACTGTTTACTTGGACTCCAAAAGGATTTTGACCAGATCTTGGGCAAATGTGGCAGTCCTCTTATGAATCTAGAACTGGTTAAAGAACAGAAAGCAGAGAGAGGGATAAATGCTAAATATAAAGAGAACAGCAAGCTAAAAGAAAAAAAATCAAACCTAATATATTTTAGTTTTAATATAGTAAATACTTGTATCTTTTTGGTTAAGCTGTACTGCTAGGCAATGAATAGTGAAGGAGAGAAACTTAGCAGGTTGGCTAGTCAATAAATAACATCCACTACATCTGGTACACTCAATGGTTTGTGTACACTTCCAACAGAACCAGATGCACTGTGTGAAACAGCCTCTGAAATTTTCCTCTACCTCATAAGCTGTTTGACATATAGCAGGGGTAGGAAACCTACAGCCAGCCGAATGATGGATTCCAGCTACCCTTGGACCTGGCCAGCATGGCCAATGGTCAGAGATAATGGGAGTAAAATCTGCTAGGCACAGGTTTTCCACCTCTGGCATATGGCATGGAGAAGGGACAGGCTCTTAAGAAACACAGATCCATAGCCTATGCAAGCTTTGGCCAATGACTGGGATGGGGGCCTGTGTGTAGGCCCTGAAAACATGTAAAGGACTTTAATGAGCCACTTGTTGCAGGTGTGCTGTTATGATTATCTCTGCAAAAAGTTGTACTTTGCAAGTGTCAGTCCCTTGGATTTCTTGTCAAATAATAGTGCAGACCGTTCAGGTATTTGTACCCCACCCTGATGGGGGCACATATGCGCTTCTAACATTCTGCCTTCAAAAGAAGGGATAGCAACTGGCCCAAAATAACAAGATTTGGACTCTTACCTAATGCCAACACGTGATCCACTGCATGCCCAGGTTTTCAGCCTTATCACTAGTGACACAGAAATGAACATCTTGTTTAATAAAAGCACACGTATTTGTAGTTATGAGATATTTTCCAATGATTCAAGAGACAGTGACAAATGCACCACAAGAATAGCTGATAGTTCTAGTCTAGGAATAAACTTCATCCCAAAAAAGAAGTATTTGCCTATTTCCACCTTCATTTCTGATACCCCAGTTCTAAACAGAAAAGCTGATTTTAGTTTCCACAGCTTTTCAAAAGAGATGCATTTAGAACCAAACCTTTATTCCTGAATAATGGCTGTCATGACTTCCAGTGTTCCCCATCCAGGCAGATGCTGGGAGCCTCAGTTCATCACATTCGGAGAAAACCAAATAGGTCAAATGATTGTAAAGTAACTTGAAGATGAGCTAATCTGAAACCTAAACCTCATCAAACATGCCCACATTAATTCTTCCATACCAAAAACAGTACAGGTGAATTAACAAGCAAGCAAACTTTGGACTGTAAGAATAGTCAGTCTTGCATTCCAATCCTGAGCACATTTACCTGGAAATCGAAGAGGCTGCCGTTTGATTCAGCTGGCAGAGCCACCTTCCAAAGCTGCCAGCAAAGTGCCATGGCTGGCATTGCCAGTTAAAACTTTCTGAGGCGGCAGGATGGGAAAGATGGACTTCTGAGAACCCTGGGGAAACCCTGGAATCCAATGTCCAATAGGACGCGTGTCTAAGAGCAGCTGTTCTCTCAGCCGTGTTAAGTTGCTTTTTCTGTGCAAAAAAGGGAGGCACAGAACTCCTCCACTAAAAGAAGAAATAAAAATGTGAAGGGGAAGTGATGTCCATGGGAGCTCTGAAGGAGCGTCTCTGTTGTTCCCACTGGAGCTGCTAAACCAAAGTATACTCCAGCGTTCCGTTGCTAATGAAAACCCCAAATTCCACCAATGCAACTTTAATAACACAGAACACAGCCGTTTAAAATTACTAGTTAGTTCATTTTATTATACCCATTCTTATTTAAAAAATAACAGGAGCTTTAGGATAAACATTCACTAACCAAAATACAAGTCTTCATTCGAGGGATGGTGTTTTAGCCATCAGGGAGTTTAGCTGCTAATTCACATTCAAGCAAATCAGTGCAGACAAAAATGCTTCTACAGTTTTGCTGATGTTCTTACTTGTGACTTCCCTCTGAGTATGAAAATTGTCTGTCTGTCCAGGGACAGCATATGAAAATCTAGTAGAGCGCTAATAAATGAATAAAAAACTAAATGATTCGTGTAAAATGTTTCTACACTTTATATACACATTAAGTCACAAATTCAATTTAAAACCACCTGCATTCATAACTCTTATGACAGACTTAGTAAGCTACAGTACAAGATTCAATTAAAAAAGAAAATGAAAAGGGGGAAACAAGTTAGAGCTAATTTAAGCACTTACTGAAAACTGGATTGTATACAAAAGTTTAGAAAACATACCTCAGAAAACATTACTCAACACAAACTAGAAAAAGACTGTAATTGACGGTCAGGAATGACATTTTAAATATTTAATTGCAATCAATAAACTCTCACTTGCAGTATAGCTAAAATATGCACAATGGAATTATTTAAGAATAAGGCATAGGACAACCAGGGTACAATTACTTTTCTGGCACACTGGCTTACCATTGCTAGCTTATTGCTTTAATTAAAAGCACCCTCTTCTCTCTCTCACGTCCTGTTTTTGGAAAAAAAATGTCATTTCAAAATTATCTCCTACCAAGCAAAAATATTTAATGTTTTTCTATGAATATGTTATGCTTTGACATCTGGGTGCACTTGACTGATATTTGTAAAGCCCCAGGAGAATGTCAAAGAATGGTCTAAAAGAATCAGCCACAGATTTGGCTAAAAGGAACATTTCTCTCTTTGGCTCCATTCACAAATAATGCGAAGCCGCAGTTTAGCACTAAGTTCACATGAAGAAAGGAGCCCACACAAAGCACTGGGGGCTGAAGTACACCTCCCTCCCTCTCCTCCAATACCACCAGGAGGAGGAAAATCCAGGATTCAATTTCACTTTCCCTAATTCTTGGCTTTATTTTATTTGTGAACCAGGAATTGTGGTTTAAAAGACACTGTTTTTTTCAGCAAGGCAGGGAGAACAATCCAGGTTTGCGTTTCCTCAGAGGCTTGTTTGGTAAATGATTACAAGTTTATTTTAAACCAAGATTTCTGGTTCACATGTAACACTAAGCCAGGAACTTTGCAAAGGGAAACTGAACCTTGCTTTATGCCACTTCCCATCTATAGAGGAGGAGGAGAGGTGGAAATGCATGAGACCAAGGCTTTACTTGGGTTCTTTTCTGCTTGTACATGTAGCATTAAACCAGGCTTTTGTGGTACACGCGAACCTTCTGCTATCCTTGACAATCCAAGCAGGAAGTCCTGGGTTTCAGAATAATCTCTTTTACACGAAAAAGAAAACTCCATTGTTCAAGCAACTGAAATAAAGAACTCTGTGGAAAAACTCTTTGGTTGAAACTATAAGTGCCTATAACTCTGAACCCAAGAATCAAGATGTCACATGTAAGAAACACATTTTGAAGTAAATTATCAATCTGTAATGTATACCACTTGAAGTATTATCAGCTTAACTGGGTCCTGTAAAAATACTGCTTGGATCACAACTGGAAATGAACTGTACTTTTAAGTCAAGAAGTGCAATGTGCTTGATTTCAGCTGCTTAATGAGAAAATGCCAAAGCCTTCATTTAGAGGGGAAAAAACCACCCACTTGTGCTTATTCTTTAATAGTACTTTCCTAGAGAAGGTGTCAGCCCAAATTCTTATGAACCAGTGTTTCAGTACTGTTAAAGAGGAGTACACCGCATAGAAAAGCAATGGGCAATGCTCATGCTAAAACAGAGCTAAAATTTGCCCTTGAACTTTTGAAGAGAAAGCCAAAATCCCACTCAGGAAGTCCATCATATTAGGCAGCATAGCCTAGGTAACACACTTATAACCACCTCTTCTTTCTGGCTGAAGAGGGGAAGGGGAACCTACAACAAACTCTTCAAGGAAGCATTAGATTGAACGTTGCCACTGAACAAGAAAATGGAAGCTTAGCAACACGAATAGCCTCTGTTGATCCAAGACCTCGGTACCCTATTCATGCATTACTCATACGAATCAGGAAGCCAGGAAAGAGGCCAGGCCCCCAAAGTTGCCACTGCATAATCAAGGTTCTAAATCATGCAGGCAGTTCGCACAAGAACAGGAAACGCCCGGATGTTGACAGCAGCGGTGGCAGGAGAGCCGCAGCCTCTTTCACCACAGATCCCCATTCACACAAGTAATGTGTGAATAAGGCTGCAGGCTCAGGATGCCAGCAGCTCATCTCCACCCTCAGCCAGCTCGGCAGCCTGCTTTCTAGATATCTAAACAATGTGCAGTAAATTTGCTAATATATACACCCACGTAAGTATTGGTAATGGGGGACTTCATTAAAGACTCTCCTTCAATATCATCTCCCAGGTGTAGTACAGTTTCCAAACATTCTCACTTTGAAAGCACTGTTGTTGTCTGGGGTCTTTGAACTGATCAGAGGAGGATCAAGTGGTTTAACTATCCAGAGTGTTGTGACACCAGTTTTTCCTGCCCCACCACACACGTTGATTCAGCTCAAGAGCTCTGAAGAGCACTTTGGAAAACAGCAGAGAAGGCAGAGAGAAGATAATGATGCAGGAGGTCACACTGCTAGCATTTCTCCCAAAAAGGAGAAAGGGGAGAAAAGAGCAGAAACTAAGTGCCCATTCACAAATAGCTATTCTATTCCATTGACTCTGTCCAATTTAGAACCAAGATTAAGCATTGCTGGGAAGGCAAATATCTTCCCACCAACAGGGATGTGACCAGCAAGTCTTGTTCTTGTCCCATCTCATTCCTTCCTGGGCAGGCAACTTTCGGACAAAAGTTCACACACTATTATGTTTTAAGGGAGCTTTTATCCTAGGAGTGGGAAGCCTGTTGCCTTCTGAATGCTGTTGGGTTCCAGTTCCCTTCATCCCCAGCCAAATGGCAAACTGTCAGGAACGATGGGACTTAGGCTCCAACAGCTGGAAGGAGATGGCTTCCCTGTCCCTTGAAAAGGTGGCATTTGATGGACAGGATTCATTCACCCAGGGAATACACTGGCACCACGTGTGTTTGCCAGGGCAGTACAAGGAGTCCCAGATAAACAGGCAGGACACCTTGCCATGCACACACGTTGGAACAGGGCATGTATACTTGTGCAGGAGAATTGGAGGTATTGAGGTTCCTGCCAACAGCTGCTGTTCGGGGTGACTGAGCAGACAGAAGAATGAGGCCATGGCATGGAAACAGGGGCACAAGACACAGGATGAAAATTGCGCAGAGAGGCGAGCTAGATCCATGTTCTGGTGAAGGAGTACAGGAGTTCCAGATCAAGCTTAAAAGGGGGGCTTATAAAGACATGGGGTGGTTTGGGCTAAAGGGGCGTCCTTCTCAATAAGGAGCCTATTATCGAAGGTGTTCTTTGGATGGGCTAGTGAGAGGCGGGTGAGCGGGGGGGGGGGTGAGTCTGCGGGAACATGTGGAAATGATCAAGGGAGGAACGCCAGGTAATGGCAAGGGTTGCCAGGGAGCTGAATTCAGGTTCTGAGAGGCCATGGGAGAAGAGTGGTGAGGGCCAGAGGCAAAGGGCCTGGAACCAAGCCGGGGGGCCAACATAGCAGGAAACCACCCCGTGGCCAGCGGGTCAGGGGCAGGTCTGGGAAAGAGGAACCCAGTCCCCGATAGGGCCCGTGGGCCTGAGGTTCCCCACATCTACTTTGAGCGACACAGGTGGGAAAGCGCGCGTGGGGCTTCCCTTCCGGGCCAGGAGGAAGGAGGTCTCGGGTCACCACCCCATTGCTAGGCAAAGGCTCCATCGGCGCCTCACCCAGGCAGAAATCCAGCAGGTGCAGCTCTGTCTAGCTCCGCGCCACGCACCGGGGACGGCGGCTCGCCTCCCCCGCCTGCCTCCCCCGCATGCATTTCAGGCCCCGAAAGCAAAGGCTGTGGCGAGCCGAAGGGGCCCTCCGGAGCAAGTCCTCGGGTGGGGAGCGCCCTGCGCCTCGGCTGAGCGCCCGTCCCGCGGCGGGCCCAGCCCTCACTCCCTGCAGAAGACGTACTCGGTGTAGCTGGTCCAGATCTTGTCGTCGGCAGGGCCGCCCTGCTCGGGGGCGAAGGCGCAGGTGCCGGTGGACGAGCACGCCGCCATGCGGAAGCCGGCCTCGCTGAGGCGGTCGAAGGCCTGCTCGAGGAAGTTGAACTTGAGGTAGTAGCGCGCCGTGTAGCGCTCGGGCGGCCGGTCCGGGTCGCGGCTCTCGTTGAGCGTCTCGCCGAAGACCTCCTTGGCCAGCGCCGTCTTGCCGCACACCGTGATGCGCGCCACGCGGCGGAACTTGGCGTCCGCCTGCGCGTCGCGCCCGATGGTGTACGAGCCGCGGTAGCCGATGGTGATGTAGCCCGAGCGCCGCCCGGCCGCCGCGCCGCCGGCGTCCAGCGACAGCGACGGCGCCAGCAGCGGCCCCCCGGAGGGGCTGCGGCTGGACGTGGGCGAGGCGGACGCGCCGGGGCCGCCGGCCTCGGGGAACTCCGCCTCCAGGTAGCCCAGCGCCCCCGGCGGCTCGTCGGCGCACACGGAGGCGTCGCGCAGCAGCCCGGAGAAGCGCGCCGTCGGGGCCGCGGCGGCCGCGAGGCGGCGCACCAGGTCGGGCAGCTGGAAGTACTCGGCCTCCCTCTGCAGGCGGCTGCGCTCCGGGAAGCGCTCGGGCAGCACCAGCTCCTGGTCCCGCAGGTAGTCCAGGATGTAGCGGAAGAGGAAGCCGTCGCGGTCGAGGAAGAAGCGGCCCTTGGAGTCGCGGGGCAGCTCGGCCGCCTCCTGCTGCGAGAACATGCGCCACAGCAGCGAGCCGCGCACCGAGAGCACCGTGCCCCTGCGCGTCACGTATACCTGCCCGCCGACATTCAGCTCCACGATCTCCGGGAAAGCATCGCCGCCGCCGCCGCCGGGCACCGACGCCGCCGCCGGCCCCTGCTGCTGCTGCTGCTGCGGCCGCGCCGCGCCGCGCAAGGCGCTGCTGTTGCCCCCGCCGCCCCCGTTGGGCAGCCCCCGAGCGCTGTCCGCCAAGGCCATGTCCGAGGGAGTCCTTCCTCTAGGGCCGCGCCCGCCCGCTCTCCGCCAGGCTGGGATGCGCCGCTCCCTTCTCGGCTCGCTCGCCCCCCGCCTTCCGCGGCCGCCAGCCGCCCCCGAGCTCCGCCGAAGCGCCGCGGGGGGCCCGCCTGGCTTGTCTTCGCGGCTCGCCCGCGCGCTCCGGCTGCTGCCTGCCCGTCGGCGCCCGCTCCGCCGCTCGCGCTCCGGTGCCTGCCCGCCGAGCTCCGGGCTGCGAGGCGCTGGCAGCGAGCGGGGCCGTGTTTATGTAGAGCCGCGGCGAGCTCGCAGGAGGCGTGGGGAGGCGGCGGCGCCGGGGGGAGGCGGGCAGGCAGACGGCGCGGAGCGCTCAGGCGCGGGCTGGGTGGGTGGGTGCGTGGGGGCGCGGGGGGAGAGGAGGGGGCCGGGGGTGGGTCGACGTTGACGCGAGGTTCTTCCTCCCCCTTTGCGCTTCCTTCCCCAATTGCGAAGGAGCCCGAGCGCGGAGCTCCCACCCCCTTTTTTGCTTTCGTGACGCGGATGATTTTTTAATTATTCTCTTTGCGCACACGCCGAAATCGAACTCCGGCCAAAGCTGGAGCTCGGGGAGGCGCCGAGCAGCGCCGCCCGGGCGCGCTGCGCCATCCAGTTGCGCGGGCAGAGGCTGCGGCTGGCGCTCTGCGGACCCGGAGGCTGCCGTGCGCCCCGGAGTTGGCGCGGCCGAGCGATCCGCCACCCGCGACGCCCGTCCAGCTGCAGCCCCTCCCGCCCTTCCTCCACCGAGCCCCGCCGAGTTCGGCGGGATCTGCGAGACGCCCGGAAGCGGAGCCCGGGGAAGCAAGGGCTCTTCCGCCGCCCTTGGCTCTTTGCAGCCGCCTCGGCGCCCCGCGGGCTCCGTGCAGGAACGAGCGCCGAGCCCTGCGGCGGGGCGGCCGCGTGCGCACCCCAGTGCGGGGTCCGTCTCCCTGCGGTTGCGTCCAGCGTCGGTCAGGCTGGAGCCCCGTGCATTTCAAAGTGGGACTCGCCTTGCAGGCACCCCTCTGTACGTGCGTGAAAGAGAACGGGGCGCTGTAAAGATGGGAAGTAGGGAAGTTTTTTTTTTTTTTTTTTTAAACAGGACTGCAGAAAATTTGGAGGTACTGGCACCTTCACATGCACGGACCAATACGCAGCGTGGGGCTACTCCGCGCGTGAGTGGAGCAAAGATTTCAGGAATTCAAGCACCTTTTGTAAGAGTCTTTAGCATCCAGTGAAGGCTCCCTTAGGCTTCCTTCGCAAGGCACAGCAAGGACAGCTGCAGACTCAGTGGCTTGTGCCGTAGGTAGTGTGTGTGAGAGAGAGAGAGAGAGAGCGAGCGAGCGAGCAAGAGAAAACCCAGGTGCACTGAAGCTGGTGCAGAGACTCAGCAAGACTGGTCTGCCGCTTCCACCTCGTCACCTCCACGGCTCTTTCCCTGAAGAAGCTCCCGGGCTGTGAATGATGTTGGCAGAGGGCCGCGGTTCTGCAAACAGCCGCCTGCCTTCCATGTTGGGAAAGCAAAGAACATGCCTTGTGCGTCCGTCTGTAGGCATACTTCCCTTTTGCTTTTAAAGTTGAGCTTGCAAAAATTAATCTTTATGCTTACCCCAGCCCTTTAGTTTCCTGTTTCTAAAAGTGTTTTTTAAAAGTTTCCCAAGAGGGGGGAAAACACACAAGTGTGCCAAGCATTTACATACCCAGTTGTTTTCATCAGTTTCTAGTATTCAAGCTTCTGGTTCTAACGGGACCAATAGGTTGCTTTTTTCTTTTCTTAGCTGTAAACAAATGTTCTGCTTCTCACACCGGCTGGACAAGCCCCCCCCCCGGCCCCCTCCCCACCCTCTGCTCACACACTTTTTAATTATTGAAGCATGTGCCAGTAGCTTTTGAAGGCATACTGCTAATTTCCACACTCAGTTCAAAGATTTATCCGCATCCTGGTCTTACCCTCCCTGGGCTTGTTTGAGACTGCATAATGATGGCCAACTGTAAACTGCATTAAAATGCTTTTCTGAGCATCTGGGCACTGCTATGCAGGCAGGACTCTGTCCCCATTGTCATCAGACATTCTGGGCACGAAAGAGGAGGAACTGTGAGCCCGGTGCTTACTCTCATGTCAAGCTCTGTGTACCCTCCAGTCTGGAGCATTTCTTTCAGGCTCTTTGGGGGGCTCCATTCCTTCCCTACTCCCTCCCTCCAGCCCCTCCAAGGATGCAAAGGGCCATGCTTGGGCTCATCATGGGGCTGTTCGGAGGGGCAGTGATCTCCTGATGCTTTTTCTTAAAGGTTTTTTGGGGTGGAGGGTGGAATGGAATTACTTCTGCAAACATTGTGGTTCTGTCCAGTCTGCTGTTACTTCCTTGTGAATATTTTAAGCTACTTACGAAGCCTTGTTCGAAGACCTTGCTGTTAGCGTATGATACAGATCTGAAAGCTCAAGACCTGGGCCATCTTGTCTGGCTTCAACACAACAGCTTGATATTTAGCAATGGAAGTAAAATATTTCATGTCATGGACAGAATTGCTGGCAGAATAATCACCTACTGAACTTAGTCTTAGCCTGCTGTTCTATTGCCTTTTACCTGGGAGTAAGTCTCACCGATGTAATGGATTTGCTTCTGAGTAAACGCACATAGGATTCTTCCTTTGTGGATGCCCCCAAACCCACTGAACAGGAGTTCAAAACAACAACAGAGTGTATCCCTGAGGACAGCGTTCAATTCAATCAAGTAGGAAATGGAAGTCTTCAGAAGTAATTTCCTAACAGAATGAAAGAGTAAAAATAATATCGGTGACGGAGCAGTTAATTTATGGTGCAGGTGGGGAAAAGAGAAGCTGCCCATTCATGAATGATGGGATTCACTACAGCAGGTAGCCACTGCATTTTGGTGCCTGCTTCCCATTTTCCATTGCTGTTTAATTTTACAAAATTTAATGATTTGGAGAGGTTTAGACCACTTTGCAGTTTGAAGCAAAGTTCCAAATATAATAAAACCAACCATTTAACCATATAACAGAATGAGAAGAACAAGAACAATATAAAGTTGTGCACGTCTGGTCAGTGATAAGCTCCACTGAATGCAGGGGGGTTACTCTCAGGTAAGTGTATTCGGGTTTGCAGTTCCAGGAAGCCATCCAAAATACACTTACTAGGAAGCAAACCTCATTAACTATATAAAAGTAACACCTAAAGAAATGTTTAGGAGTACACAGTAAAAGAGAACAAGAGCTGTATTTTCTAGGCACAGAACTAAAACCTGGGGAGGGGGGGGGTCTTGTTTTGGTACCTGCACTGTAAATAGAAGCAATAGATTGTCCAAAGTCAAGGAGACGAAACAGTATCACTTTTCGAGATAGATAGAGATAGTCCTGCATCAGAGGTGCTTCCCAAGTAGCATCCAATACACGCAACTTCTATGGGAGATAGAACCAGAAAGAAAATCTTCAAACTTCCAGAAGATTCTATCCCACCTGGACAAACACAACTTCTTCCTGTGAAGCAAAAAGCATCCAAAGGTGTCAAAAGTACTAACCTCTGCCAGTCACCAGACGCAGATGAGATATAATTTTGATGTGTTTTTCAGCATGTTCGAGACAATCTGATTAAATGAGGTATGATGGGATGGGGCAGTGGAGGGAAAGCTGGCTTAACTACTGGCTAACATACCAAGCAATATGGAAGAGGACTCAGTTCTCCCAGTCTCAGGCCATGTGGAGCCCAGAAACGCGTAACAAGCAGTCGGGAGAGCTTGGTATGTTTCTGGCAGCCTATGCTGGCCACATTTTTGTATCAGTGAAAGTAGCCAAGGTGGCTTCAAAGGGAGACCCTGGCACAACACATTGTAGCTCTTTAATCCATTTCCTTGATCTGCTTAATTAAGGCTGGCCTCCCCCAGATCTCTCTGTTTCATTTTCCCACAGGGACCAGGGGGAGAGAGATTCGTACAAACCTCTATACCCTGCTCATAGGCTTCCATCCTATACACTCACCAGGGAGTAAGTCTCATTGAACTGAAAAAGATACAGATCAGATTCCACAATCTATAATGTGAAATTCTTGATTTACCTTTAAGGATGTGCAAAAAATAAAAAATGGTGCCCAGTTGTAAAGCTTTGTTTTACCTTCAAATTCTGTTCCTCTCCAGGTAAAATTTGCAAGGAATTTTAAGACTCTTCTTCTAACCTACAAGGACAAGAATGGCTTGTTTTCTCTTTCCACTCCCTTGCTTTAAAAGGGGTTGGTTTGTTCTCGTAGCCTTAAATCTGCCCTTAAGGTTTAATTCTCTGCCTATAAACATAGAAAGAAAGCCTACAATTCCCAGGATTCCCTCTCTGGCCACACATTAGAGCTGTTCTTTTCCTTTCCACAGGATTGTTCCCTTAACTGACTTGTCAAAACCTGTTTAAGATGCCCGAGTCTGGCTTTGGTGTTTGTTTGTTTGATCTTTTCTGGTTCTTGGTTCCTGGCGAGTGACTGGAATCCAGTGAAGGGCACATGTTTTGCAGGCACAGGGTTCAGATTGAATACCTGGTATGGTTTCTGATTCCAGCAGAAACCGGGTATGAAAAATGGATCAAGCACAGAGTGAGGTGGAGGTAAGCTGCCTGGTGCACTCCAGATATTTGGGGCTGCAGCTACCATAAGCCCCAGCCGGAATGGTCAGTGGGCAAGGTGATGGAAGGTGTAGTCCAAAACCTGCAGATGGACTGCGCTAGGTTGCTTACCTGGCAGCACTGGGGTAGATGGACAAAACCGTGCAAGGAAGCGTCCTCTAAGCATGAATTTCCCTGAAATGGTCTCTTGCTGCTTCCACTTACCGCTCAGTCTGCAGCTCAAAATGCCAGCTCCAGCAAGAATTCACTGACGGGACTCATAGACGGCATGGGCTGCTTTTCTCCGAATCACTGCTGAGCATCGTTGGTCAAATTGCAGTCCATCTGAGCCTGTACTGTGTTACCATTTGATGACTGGTGGTCACTGTTCTTAT